CTTGTATATACTCACTCGTGTCTGTTTCCTTGTGGTGTAGATCCCTACACACGACGTTACAGTATGTTCCTTTCAATATACAGTTATTAGTGACAATTGAGGGCAAATTCTAGTAAATAAAACACACTTTTTTTGGTGATTACAGATCCTTGTACTTCTGGAAAGGTGCAAGAAGCAATTCTGGGAGATGAATCTGCACCTTCGGTGTGTGGTAAGAGCAAGATATTCCTGTGCTTTCTAATTTCGTAATTCTAGACGGTGAATTAAAAGAAACCTTTCTTTTTGATACAGATCTGTTTTCGGAACATTGATTTGAGGACATAGAATCTTTCTTAACGGCATTTTTTGCTTTTTTCTTATATGTTTCTTATATGAGTTTTCTTATATGTTTATATAATGACTAATTGAACATTTAAAAGACACTTTTCGTATTTCTCTCAAATTAGCCAATTTTTATGTGGAAGTTGGCGAACCTAAACTGCGGCTGTACCCGACGACACTAGCGTCACCTATCGTAGCACCCTCGAGCTTTGTCCCCGGTTTTGATGGGTTTCAAGGCGATTCATTGCGATTTTCGTAAATCTGCCCCTGGCAGGTATAGACAGTTATCGCAGCTACTGACAGTTTCATCCAATCGAAAGCTTAACGTTCAAGCATCCGATTGGATGAAACGTGAATACCTGCCAGGGGCAGAGTTACATAAATTGCAGTATAGATTTCCATGCTTCCAACTGCAGCACAGAAGGGGGACAATCGTTGGGTAACAAGTGTTCCACTCCGTGTTTGCAGTGAATGTAAAAGACAGTGTGAGCGTTATCACATAATAAATTGCACTAAACGGAAAAAATATATAACCATGTATGCCTTCTATCTTCTGTACTCGGCACCTCGAAAGAGGGTTTAAAATGCAATTTACGAAAAATGTTACTGTTGCATGGACATGTGTAATCAAAAGCGACTTCTGGTACTTTAATGTTTTTCTGTTGGCAATTATAGTTGACAATATTCCCAGAATTACCCGATTTACAGCCAACCGAAATTTGCGTGGTCAGACGGAAAAGCAGGCCTCAGGGCCTGAGTTTCACCATCGTTAAAAGCCACGTAAAATAAGGCATTATATTCAAATATAATATATATAATATTATATATATAATATTATATATAATTAATATATATATATTACGTATATTAAATTAAAGAAGGAAGGTTTCACCTGAGAGGGTAAAATGTTTGTTATTTAGGACATCTATGTATTCACTAATCGATTTTCATTTTTTGAAAACTTTTCTAGAAGTGGTATTAATGGCACGTTGATTCACAACTCACAGAGTGCAGTGTTTCAGCTAGATTCAGGATGTGTGTACTTGAGTATTTAAACAACCTCTAGGAGAATACATGTTTATAGCCGTGTCACAACACGTATTCAGTCTGTCTTTTCCCAGTTCGGTCGAGTATAACGCCAGTGTTGTAGGTCTAGTTCTATTTGCATCCTTTTCTGTCCTTTTTCTTCTATAAATGAGTTGTAAGGAGAGTTAGATGGAGTATATATAGTAGCGTCGCTCGTAGGTCTCCTATGTAAAAAGTTTATTGCGATAACTTATATATTAGTCTTGAAGTGCTGTTTTTCCTACTCTTAGCGCTGTTTTAATAAAGCGGTGATTTACATTTTCCATATTCTTACTGATCGTTAATTTCTCCCATGTCATATGAATTCCGTATGTAATTGTAGGAAAGTAAAGTGATAACACAAACAATGGTTTGAATTATAATTTATTAACACACAAAACTGAAGGATTACATTAGTACAAAGTTTCCTGTACATGCTGGCCGAATTATGTGAATGTTGGTTGTAAGGTCATTCCTAAGTACTTAAATTCTTTGCTATTTTCAGTGGTTCACTTTTTAGATACAGTGTATCTGCTGTAGAAATTCTTTCACCTTTTCTAAACATCACCTGCATTGTTTTGTGATGCTGTAATATTAACCCATTTCTCTAATTTGAGTAGCGTTGCATGCAAATTTGCTTTGCGTGCGCTTCCAAGAACTATATCGTCTGCTCACATGATTCATGTTGTTTATTGTGATTCCTTCAGGATGGTTGAGATGGTAACTGTAGCAATATTGTACGGGGCAGCCAGCATATGGCTAAGAGGGTCTCCCTGAATTTGTTTGGGTGATTATGTTCGAAGTGGTTATTCCATCATCAATTTCTATTTGACTGCCAGAATGTTCTTTATCATTACATTGAGAAAGTGTGTTTCTCACTATCATGTTTTCAATTTTTTCGATTATATTTTCTCAGTTTATCAGATCAAATGCTTTTTAACAGTCTATGAACATTGTTTAGTGCTTCCTTTTTGGGCAATTCAGTGTTTTCTGCTTCTATTAAAAATTGAATTGCATATTGCTTGCCCTCACCTCTTCTAAAACCAAACTGATATTCTGGTATGAAGGTATATATTTATTTTTGAAGCCTGGATGTCATGATTCTGGTAAGTATTTTGAATATGACGCTTTACTGTTCAATGCCTCTATATGAGTTTGAATTTGTCGTGTTTCGACGATAACCTGAGATTGTCAGTGTCTGTACATTAAGACCCATTCACAATGCAAAGATAAACATAAGCATGGCGCTAACATTATAGTTAGAACTACGTCCATAAGCGGACTCATTCACAATGTGTTCGCATATGCATAACACGTAAGACGGTAACTTAAAAGCTTCAAGCTTCTGTGCTTATGCTTAAGTAAGACATAGGAAATGAATCAATCACAGAACGGTAACTCAAAATCGAGAATCGTAATTGGAGCGAAGTCGATAGGTCGATAGAAGAACTAACGCCATATGGGCCATGGACACAGTCGATACCTTGATATCGATTCTCACATCCAACCAATAGTAAACCAGAATGTCTCACAG